GCTGAGTTGTCTCTGTTAGGATGATTTTGAACCTATCTAATCTAACAGGAAAACTGAAATCATTCTAAATAGTCGACTTTGTAAGAGTTAACAGAGGGAAAGGATTCTTTCTGGCACAAAAATTAAGTGCTCAGCTGCTAACCCAAGTTGGCTATTCGAACCCACCCAGTAGCTCCATAGGAGAAAGACCTGGTGATCTACGCCCATAAAAACTACTACAGCCTGGAAAACCCTATGGGACAGTGCCCACATGGGGTTGCTATGAGTTGAAATCAACTTGACAGCACCAAACAACAAGAATACAGGGAATTGACTATACAGGTTACAGGGATAATTGAGAAAGGAAATGGAATACCATGGACTCCCAGTCACACTAACAGAATAAAGCTGCTTCTACTCCAAGGATGTGGGAACAAAAAGAAAGGCAATATTACTGAATCTCAGGGTGACTGAGGTTCACTTGGCAGAAGCTGAACTAAGTAGTACCCTTCTGGCAGAGCTGGAGAGAAGGTACAGTCACTCCTGGAGGTACCACCCAAAGGAGAGGAGAAGGGGAGAAATCTTTCTCTACCCAGAAATCTTTCACAAGTACCTCCCATTGGCCAAATGGAGCTGGAAGTAGCCAGACACTGGAGCTTGGGGACAAAAGCCTCAGTTGTCTGGTGAACTTGTTTGATAACCAAGGCAGGTTTCTTTTTTTTTTTTAACATAACACTCCTCTATAACATAAAGCTTTTTCAATAATAAGCTTCAAGCATGCCCATTTTTATTATTTATTCTTTAATAATCATTTTATTCTTTTTAGACATTATGCTGGAGAAATTTCAGTAAATTCATAATAGATTAGGACCATTCAAGCTAGCTAGTGTATAATTTGTGCCTCCAATTCTTGTAGTAGGAGATTGTGAAGATAGAAATGGAACTTGAGTTTCTTCAATTCTGTCATTTTATGGTGACTGGGAGTTTTTATATGTGTTTAAAATTAAACATAAAAATATAGTGACTGGAGAGTGATTATTTGAAAACCATGTCTTGCTGAATCTGAATCTAGGAAAAAACTCCCTCATTCTTTCTTGAAACAGACCTACACAGAGAAGTTCACATGCATCAGGACTCACTGTATTACAGATAACATCCATCCATCCATTAATCTATCAACTATCAGTTATCTATCTATCATCTGTTAATTACCTATTACTTTTTTTTAATCTAACACAGTGATCATTTAGAACTTAGAACAATGGAAAGAGAGAGAGAGAGCATGAACAGGAGTACTTTAACACTGACATACTAAAAGGACTAACATGTGATGGCAATAAAAAAGCAAGTCCAATATTTAGCTGGATTTATTACTGATTTTAAATTATCAAAGACATGTTCTTCCCTAATGCCCCCCAGAAAGGACTGCTTCCGCTGACCCACCTAAGCAAGGCACACCACTGCACAGCCCATGAGAATCAATCTCTGTAGCATACAGAACACAGGAGGAGAAGGGGAAGGAATGGATCTGAGGAAAAACAGTTTTGGACAGGCCCACTTGCCCATCTATGTTTGCTAGTGCTGGCTCCTCACTTGCCCCAAATCACTAGACCTTTTTGAGTCTATTGACGCTCTGCCACTTTTCCACTTCCATGATGTGGTTGTTGTTGTTTTTGTTATGTGCCCTCGAGTCGGACCCAACTCATAGCGACCGCTCCTTGGGTTTCCAAGGCAGTATCACTATGGAAGTAGATTGCCCAACCTTCCTTCCAAGGAGTGGCTGGTGGGTTTGAACCATCAGCCTTCTGGTTAGCACTTCTGGTTAGGCACTATGCTACCAGAGCTCCTCCATGATTTGGTAGCTGTGGAAAACTTGGCAAGATTTTCTCTTGGCCTATTGAGCTAAATGTAACACAGAGATGTTCCTCATCCAGTGAGGGTACTGGGAAACCTCTATCAATTTCCTGGACACAGGTTATATCTGCCTTTGGATTCCCAAAACATCTTAGAGTTTGTCATTTCCTTTCAACCTTTCAGTATTTGGACTAGGCAGGCTACAGGGTCAGAAATACACTGATATTTAAACCCACTTAACTCTGCTTTTTGTTATCTTTCTTCAAGCTAAAATATTTTATAATATTAAGGAGAAGGAAGCCTCATCTCACTGAGCCACGTTATGCTTTGCCCACAATCTCCACTACTCTGGGCACTGTGAGTCAGGACAGCATATCAGGAAATGGTGGCATTAATCATCCACACCAGTTGTTTTCAAAATTGGCTGTATTGGTGTTTATTAAAGTTGCCCAGGCCATTCTAATGTGGAGTGAGGGTTGAAATCTACTGATCCAAGCAGGCCAGAATAAGAGCATCTCAAATAATGCCTAAGCATTGCAGAGTCAACAGGGCTGAGAAGCCTAAAGGAAGCACATGGGCAGGTGATTGAGGACTTACCCTCACTACTACCTCACCCCCTGAACCCACCATCCTAAAAATTGTTTACCTTACTTTAGTCCCAAAGAACTGTAATATGTGGAAAAGTAGCCAACAAGTTGAATTTAAGTGAAACTGAAAAAAAAAAAAAAAAACATATTTCTTGAAAGCTGGATTTCTGGTATGAGATTTAAATCCATAATGCACCTTGAAATTCACTGAGCAATGTTAACTATTTTTTTCATGTAAAAAAGGAGAATATTGCCACCGTGTAGGTGAGATAGAAATTATTTTAACAAAAGTTGAAGAAACAAGATGATTCTTAGGTCCTGAAATTTTGCCCCATATTCATTCACTAGCTAATGTTATCACTAATAATCTTATGATTCTATCCAGTGCTACCCCTTTTACTCTGTGCTCCTTTGGCTAGCAGAATAACATGGCTCATTTAGATTGAGGCATGATATCCTCACAAGGCTAATTACTTCTTCTGCTGAACCTAAGAATAAGACAAATGGTTCCACAACAACCTTAAAGCATGTATCTTGCTTGTCTTGATATCTTGCTTATTGACTTGTATAAGATAAATGAGTCTTTTTCAATGCAGCCAATATTAAGAATATAACAACAACAAAAAAATAAGACTATACAGATTTATTGCTATGGGATATAAATTGGACAGCTGATTTGAATATTTAGTATTTTGAATTAAGTCTCAAAATGAGAACAATCTTAGGAAAAATCAATCTAAAGTGATTGATTTTTTTGCTACTGTTTAAAGATATTTAATTTGTAAGTGCAAATAAAGTACTTACATTTTAAATTTCCATATTACAAACGTTTTTAATACTGTTTTATATACCAAGCATTTGATGTACTAAAGCATTGGGCATGGTTTTTAGAGTGGAATCAGGGTTTGACACTGAGATCTAGTTTTGAGTTATCTCATTCAATATTTCTGAGTAACTGGATGACCCTTTTAAGACAGAACTTCATTCTCAAATTTACCCCACAATCCACACCATTAAAATACGTAATTCATATTTTATTATAATAAGACTGACTATGCAATACATATTTGTTAAACAAGTTCAATCTTTTAATTGCAATTACATACTGTAAATTGAATATACATTTTTGTTAGAAAATAAACAGTAGATGAATAGCTAAAGGTGAATATATAAACATTGACTGGTTCACAAATTATTAGAGATACATAAAAGTAATCCATAAGAGTAGTCTTGTCCCATAAACATTTCCTAACCCCCATCAAGTCTCACCCCACTGCACACACACTTTATTTTTTTAATTAGCTTATAGTTTAATATTTATTTATTTACCTATTTTTACTGTGATTTGGGTGAAAGTTTAAAGAGCAAATTGGTTTTCCATTCAACAGTTCATACATTGTCTTTCGTGACACTGATTGCAATCCCCACAATGTAACCTCATTCATCGCACTTCTTCCCTCTACTTCTTATTTCCATTCCTCCTTCTTTCCCAACATTTCTTGCCTACTGAACTTTAATCCTCATATTATTATGTACAAATAGGAAGTGAAAAGCTAAGAAAATGATAGATATAATTCCAGAAAAAACAAATGCATTAGCCATGTCTATCTGTTTAGTAGAGAGAAAACAGGAGTATTTATTTTGGCCTAATTAATTACCTGAATCATTACTTCAGTTCTGTATTTTACTCTGCATGCCCAGGTTTGGCCAATTACTAAAGAATGAAACAAGGAACAGAAACTTTTTCCTTTAACACCCAAACCCTAACTTCCTCATCTGAAGTTTACTTCCTTTTGATGAGAAAAGAGTATTCATAACCTTCTAATGATGTGTCTTATCAACAAACATAGGTATTTCTATTTGTTTTCTAAGTGGAATCATATGAAAAAGCATATTACTTTTTATTTATAAAGTATTTTTCTTTGAAAATATAATTGAAAGCAAGTTTAATAACAACCTAGTTTAAAATCTAGCATCTGATTTCTCTTAGAAATCAGAAATACAAGTTCCCTTATAAATTTCTAATTTTTGGTGCATTTGGATTTTTTAGAGGAATACCAAAATCTTTCATTGGATGGATATTTCCATATTTTAATAAATTGAATTAGGAATAATTTATTTAATGGTTATAATTTTTCAGGCTAAGTGCTAAAAATATTAGTTTTTAATATCTTCATGTTAGAAATAATTTGGAGGAAAAAATTACTAAACACATTCTCCTTTAGCATGTGTTTTATTGCTATGGAGAGCAAATTGCAATGTTATTTATGTCTATTAGAAGATAACATATGGTTCTCCAAGAAAAAACAGCCAATCTATTTTTTGGGAGGCAGGTAAGACTGATTTTAGACTAAAGAAATTAATCTTTTTCTGAGTCCAACAATAATAAGTGTATTTAATACCCTTAAAGTCAGAATGTCCAAAGTAAATCATTCCAAATAACACAGGTGACAAACAACAGTGCAAATCTCAGTTCAAATCCAGTCATAGAGCATGATCTCTGTTCTCCTGTTGTCCGATGTACTTACAGTGTCTGGCAGGACTTTATAAACATACATTCATTGTAATCCATAGTTTGAGCTGAATGCTGGTATTAGACATAACTGGTGGAGGTCTCACTAAGCATTGTCATGTTTCTTGGCTTATTTGGATGTGGCACAGAGTATCCAGGGGCCGGATATCTGAACCTTTGTTTCTTTTTGTTGCAACAGCAGAACCCGCAGAAGATACCCCCTGCAATGAAGAGTATGGCTGCACTCACCCAGCCAAGGAAAAGTGCCACTCCCAGCTCTCGTTTCTGACCTACATGAACAGCTGGGTTGTAGAAATCCTGGATAATGATATTGGCTGTCCAGCACACTGGAATCAGAACGAAGATGGCTGTCAGGATGAAGAGTACTCCAGATGTGCCCACAAGGTATGCCTTTGCCCTCTCATTAGACCCTGTGCACTGGATCTGCTTCATGCCACAGATACCAATAAGTAGGGCAATCAAGGAGAGAGCAACTGCTACACACATGAGTGCCCGGGCTGCTTCCAGAGCAGGTGGGAGTGCCAACATTGATCTATAGAATTTACACTGCAGCCTGACCCTGGCTTGTCGAATGCAGTTCATCCAGAGCCCTTCCCATATCCTTTCAAAGACAATAATGTTGCTCCCAACAAAAGCTGACACTCTCCATTGAGGCAGAAGAGTGGTGGCAAGAGTCCCAACCATGCCCAGGAAACCAAGAACCAGTCCAGCAATTTGCAGGGGATAAAATGCCATCTCCTTTACCTTGAAACTGGCCCAATCTAGAATGTCAGAAGATGCTCAAGAGATAGAATGCAGAGGGCTCTTGGAGTCTACAGCAGTCTCCGAGGATCTTCTCCACTGTTCTTGGCCATGATGTTTCAGTCCAAATCAGCAGCAGGGACTGAACTTAGCCTAACTAGAAGTACTTGTAAATGCATGGTACATTCGTATACACACATTCATTTCTGTATGGGTTATTTACTAGTCATATATAATTGCTTCCCAGCCAATAAGAAGTAGCCAGAGGTGTGTCAAGAAATACTACATTCAACTTCAGTATTCCTCATATTATTGTCTTAGCAATGTTGTAATTAAGTGTCAAAGCTTTCATTATGGATTCAGTTAATTATAGAGCTGAACACTTCCTGCCTAAAAGTCACTCTGATATAAAATTGTAACCATACATGTTAAGTAACAACAGAAGACAACTCTAAAATTTTGCCAGTTCTTTGCAGAGAAATTGAAAAACAATTTGGACATCAGATGATCTATTACTTTCTTCTTGTCTAAGCCACCTTTCTTTAATTTGGTTTATCTCATCTAGGTTAAATAAAGACTTCTAGATAAGGAAAAATGTTTATGTATTAATTTGTTGTTGTTGCTGTTGTTAAGTGTCATCAAGTGGTTTCCGACTTATAGCGACCCTTTGCACAGCAGAACGAAACACAGCCTGATCCCACACCAGCCCCACAATCCCTGCTATACTTGAGCCCATCATCGCAGCCACTGTATCGATCCATCTCGTTGAAGGTCTCCCCCTCTTTCGTCCACCCTCCACCCTACCAAGCATGATATCCTTCTCCAGGGAATGGTCCCTTCAATTTAAAGACTTCTAAAACTGCAATTACTTTGTAAAAGAAGATATTCCTCTTTTATAAATTCATCCTTTTTAAGACTTAGAAAAGATGAAAAAAGAGAAATATTCTGTATAACTGATTTGAATTATTGGTAATTATGTATTATCCCTTATGCAACATCTCTTTCTCTCTGCTAAAATTAGGTTGTTGCTGTTAGCTGCCATAAACGAGTTCTGACTCACAGGGACCCCATGTACAACAGAATGAAACATTGTTCTGTTATACACTATTGCCACAATCTTTACTATGCTTGAGCCCCTTGTCACAGCAGCCGTGTCAATCCATTTTGTTGAGGGTCTTCCCTTTTTTTGCTGACCCTCTACTTTACCAAGCTTGATATTCTTCTCTAGGGACTGGTGGTCCCTTCTGATACATGACCAAAGTAGAAGAGGCAAGTCCAGACATTCTCCTTCTAAAGGAGCATTCTGGCTGTGCTGTGTTTCCTCCAAGAAAGATTTGTTCATTTTTCTAGCTGTTCATAGAGCATTCAATATTCTTCCCCAAACCACGATTCAAATGCTTCAATTCTTCTGTGGTCTTCCTTATTCATCGTGAAACTCTCAGATGTACATAAAGCTATTGGAAAATAACATGGCTCTGGTCAGGCACACCTTAGTCCTCAAAGTTTTTAACACTTTAAAGAGGAATTTTACTGTGGCAAGGAATTCTGCTGGTGCAGTGGTTAAAGCACTTGGCTGCTAACCAATATTTCAGTGGTTCGACTACTGAACCAACCAGCATTTCATGGAAGAAAGTTGAGGCAGTTTGCTTCTGAAAAGAGTTACAGCCTTGAATACCCTATGAGGGTCACCATGAGTTGCAATCAACTCGATGACAGTAAGTTTGGGTTTTTGGTTTTGCAGTCTGTTTGCCCAATGTAATATGTCTGATTTCTTGGCTAGTTCTTCCATTGGTGTTGATTATGGATCCTAGTAAAATGAAATCTTGACAAATTCAATCTTTTCTCTGTTTATCGTGATTTTCCCTATTGGTCAAGTTGTGAGGATATATATTTTCCTTATGTTCAGGTGTAATGCATACTGAAGGCTGTGGTCTTTGAGTTTCATCAGTAAATATTAAATTTTCTTCACTTTAATCAAGTAAGGTTGTGTCATCTGCATATCACAAGTTGTTAATGAGTCTTCTCCAATCCTGATGTGTTCTTCTTTGTATAGTCCAGCTTCTCAGATAATTTGCTCAGCATACAGATTGAATAAGTATGGTGAAAGTATACAACCCTGATACACACCTTTCCTGATATTAAAACATTCAGTACCCCCTTGTTCTGTTCTAATGATGCCTTTTCTTCTATGTGTAGGTTCCTCATGAGAAAAATGAAGTATTATGGAATCCCCATTCTTTGCTATGTTATCCATAATTTGTTATGATCCACATAGTCGAATGCCTTTGAAAAGTCAATGAAACACAGGTAAATATTTTTCTCATATTCTTTGTTTTTAGTCAACGTCCATTTGACATGAGCGATAACATCTATCATTCTACATCCTTTCTGAATCTGCCTTGAATTTCTTGCAATTATTTTTCAAAATACTACTGAAACCATTTTTTAACTTTCTTCAGCAAAATTTTACTTGTGTATAATATTACTGGTATTGTTTGAAAATTTTCCCTGGGGAAATAAGGTTTGAAATGTAAACTTCCATTAGATTTGTCATCAATTTCAGTTTTGAACATGTTATGTTGATCAAAATGAGGGGTTTGATTGATGGTTTTTATGAAATAATTTAAAAGCAGCCCTTTGAATTATCTAGGCAATTAGTTAAAATTGAGTTGATGGTAAACTCAGATCTAGAAGTTACCTTGTGCAGTGTGAGGCCAAGAGTTGTAGTTGAGTACAACTTGCTAAATACCAAGCCATGGTATTTTCAATCACCTCATATGCATGGGAGAGCTGAACAATGAATAAGGGAGACTGAAGAAGAGTCGATGATTTTGAGTTGTGGTGTTGGTGAAGAATGCTAAAATCACCATGGACTGCCAAAAGAACTAACAGGTCTGTATTGGAAGAAGTGTAGCCATAATGCTTCTTGGAAGCAAGAATGGACAGACTTCGTCTCATCTACCTTATTCATGTATCAGAAGGGACCATTCTCTGGGGAAGGATGTCATGCTTGGTAAAGTGGAGGATCAATGAAAAATGGGAAGGCCCTCAAAAGGTGGATTGACACAGTGGTTGCAACGATGGGCTCAGGTATACCAAGGATCAAGAGGCTGGCACAAGACAGAGCAGTGTTTCATTCTGTTGTACACAAGGTCGTTAAGAGTTGGAAATGACTCAACAGCACCTAACAACAACAAAAACACAACTAGCTGGGTGGTGACCACTCTGGGAATAAACCCAAGTCTAACCTATTACACACACCACTTCCATCTAGTGTGATTAAAAAACTGGAGGGAGAGATTTTTTTATATTTTTCATATGAGTCGGACTAAACATAGGATTTAACATTACACCTTCCATAAAATTTTCCAAGTGAAAAAAAAAAAAAAAACTTCTTTTCAGACTGTTTCAAAATTCAAGAGTCAACTTTCTGTCTTTGGCTACCACTTCCTGTCATTGCCCAGAGGCTGAGTGGCTTAATCTAGGAAATGTGTCCCTTTCCCCTTTGACTTCCACATCCCACCACAACACAGCCTATTTGAAGATGAAAACTATTTGAAAGCAAACACACCAAGCCTACTCTAGGTAGGAAACAGAACAGTTTGAAAAGATATCCTCTGTTTCTGTCAAGCGCTGGCCAAAGAACTAATGGGTTGTTCAATATAAATCATATTTTAAAAGTCCATTAATTCATTTAGGAAATATAAAAAAGCTTTTAGATTTCAAGACAGATCACCCATAGAAATCACCTAGATTAAGCTTATTATTTTGTGACTATGTTTTGTTATTATTATTATTATTTTTGCTTTTTAGCAGTGTCTTAGATCAAATGAAAATTACTTTTCTAAGGAAAGTGAGTCATGGGGGGAAACAGATGACTTCTGAGTAGTTCACAGTTTCCTAACATTAGTTAAGGAAGCATTTCATTGGTGCTTTGTTCTTGGTCACTGAGGCACTGATGTAATGATCCCCACCCTGACAGGAGTTGCCCATACTACTCTGACGTGTTACTTCCAGCTTATTTTCTTCTTTCTACATTCTCTTCCTACATCCTCTTCCTAATTGTGTCTCATTTTTATTCTATCTTCAATTTGTCCTGGCAGTTTCCAACTTGTTCTTTTCCAACTGTTTAAATTTTCACCAGCTAGAGCAAGTGGCCTGTATTACAAATAAATGCAACTGGGAGCTCATGTTTACTTAGAATATGGAAGTACATCATGAACATAAGAATAAGCTGAGAAACATACTATATGATAGTTGGAGCTGTGTATCAACTTGACTGGACCACAATTCTGTGTGGTTTAAGCAATTGTGATGTGGGTTGTTCCAATGATGGGATCAGGTGTATGTTTTGAGCAGCCAATCCATTGAAAGGGAGTTTCGCTAGGGGTGTGGCCTGCTTCCAGTATATTTATGGACATCCTCGGAAAAGAGACACTCTTCTGTGGATTGGGATTCTGTTGTGCTTTCTACAACTGTCCGTGAGAGAACAATCCACCATTCGGCCTGGAGATCTTGGATTCATCATTCATTGGAGTCAATAGCCAATACACTGCCTGCCAACCTTGAGCTCCTCAGCCCCTGAGTAAGGAAAAGCATGAGTTAGGAAAAGCCTCCAGATTGAGGTTTGATCCAAGAACTTTGGACTTGCCAGCTTCTATAAGTTTTTGAACCATTTTCCTAAGGTAAATTTCTCTTTCTATCTATGTATAAGCTTTACTTGTTTTGTTTCTCTAGAGAATCCATTCTAACACACATACACAATGTAGGAGCTCTTGTTTCTTGTCCTTGACGGTCAAACCCAACTGTCAAAATCATCTTTACTTTCATTCCTTCACATTTAGGAAAAAATAAAGGTTTCCTTTCCAACTCTTCTGTAAACTCAAGCCTTTCCACATCCTTAGAGGTGCTTGCTTCATTGATCATTCTCTCCCTTAACTGAATGTATACATTCTTCCTCTTAATTTCCCTTTAGAATATAAACATAAACTTTTCTCTTCCTGTGTTGGATTGG